GTAGGACACAACATTACTTGTATTTGAACCACATTAACCCAGTCAGTGTAAAGTGAAAAAATCTAGCCCGAAAAAAAACTCGTACGCAATTCAAGTGTGTAAATATTTTGAAAATAGTATTTCAAAACTATTCTTCGTACGATCTTAAAGTTCTAAGATTTCCATCAGTTTCGTAATGTAAGATTACAGGAAAGAAAATTGGAAGTAAACTTTCTAACCGTAAATGAAAATAAAATGAGATAGACAAAGGACAAATATAAATTCTATCATTAGATAAGGAAGCTTACCTGTTCTAAATAACATTTTTAGATGTAATGGACACTTGAAAGTTGTGTATTGACGTTAATCATATTCTCATTTAGATTGTAGAGATTATAATTATTATCAGATTGTCCATTTTCTTACAAATAAATTTTTCATACGTATTTAGCACTCGATAATTCCTCAAAATAGTCGTCGTAAACCTATAAACTACTTCGACTAGTCAATACACTTTAGATATTTTCAAAGCAATACCAGAAAACAATGTATTATGTCTTGACTAGGCAATCACCAGACTTGTCATAGATCTTAGTTATGCTTTTCAGAAGCTCCTAGAATTGAAACTTCACATACAATCCTATAAATAGCCTCTTTTGTACGCCCCATCTGTATTTTATTTTTAGAATTCAAGAGTGAAAAACTTCTGGCTATTAGAAAGTCAGTGTTTAAGCGTTCAATTACCATTTATATTACATTTATCAATATTTGTACACATAACATTTTTTTCTTAATATTGTTATTATCCTAGGTGTGGATCAGTAATGGTGACATTATTTTGATTGGCTTACGAGATTATCAAGATAATAAAGCTGATGTAATTATGAAATATTTAAACGATGAAGCTAGAACTCTCAAATCATTAGGTAGTTTTATGTGTTATTTTTTTCCTTTTTCGATACTATTGTTTAACAAATTATTTGTAAAAATAACTCAAACAATATTTTAAAACTGCTAAATATGCACAAATATTGTTAATATATCGATATTTGTATAAATTACAGAATTTTCATAGTTCAACTCATGAAATGATCTTAGGTAGACTACCATTTAAAAACTTGGAAACACTGGATTGCCGTTTTACCTTAGTATGAAACTCCTCAGTGGCACTTTTTGTCCATAGTTCCGTATCCGCGACTAAATCTCAGAGTCTCTTCTTACTAACTCTGGTGCTGAACTTACCAATGAGCTAGTCTCTGTTGACATATGTACACCCTAAGTAGATTGCTTTGATGCTGTTAGTCACAAAGTTTTATTAGAGTTGGATGGTAGTTATCAGAAGAATCTGTGACACCTATTTTGTCCTATTAACAACGGGAAAAATATGAACTTTTACAAATAACATTCGTACCCGTTGCACAACTTATTGGGTTTCTGGACTGAGTAGCTCAGTGGATAAGTTGTTGGCTTTTGAAGCAAAAAGTACCTGACTTTGCTCTCGGTATGCAAGTTCATCGAACTGACAAACTCCCAAACAGAACAAAACTCAGGTCTCAAAATTTATTGCTATACACTAACTTTATTCAAATTGTGCCATAAATTTAATGAACATTTAATGTTATTCGTTTCTTATTATCATGTTTAAATATGTACTGTGAAGCATGATAAATTGTAACTATTTATTTACAACACTGATAAATTCACAATAAGTTTGATCGGTTAATCAATAATTTGAGTGAAACAACACTTTATTTCATGTTTTTTAAAAGTTTTCTATCTAAAACACTATTGCATAAATATCTACAAATCTTTTAAGTCATTCATTCTTCACTCTGTTAGTACTCGTGACAATAAGTACATAGTTCATGTTATCATCTTGTCAACTGTGCTTTTAAGCCTATTAAATTGATTGATTCCTAGTTGATGATGCTATTATTCTTTTAACTCGTGTTCTTTATCGATATTAGTAACTCTGTAGCGCGAAAAACATTCAGCAGTTATATCATTTCATTTTAATAATGACACATCTGTTAAATGCACACAAGATAAAACTCTAGGTCTTCCAGTCTCATGATAGATTCCAACATACAGTAGACTAAAATTCCAGGCGTAGTATACCATCAGGTTATTATTGATCACTGAATCGCTTCCTTCTGTTCAATCAGTAAATATTTATGACTGAAAGCATTTTAGTTGATATTCTACTTCAATGTTATAAATATCTTTATACCGTGTAGTAAGTAATTATGCTTTATGAAAATGGCTATTTTGAGTGATAGACCTGTTTGTTTTACTTAGTAATTACAGGGCATTTCGTAAATATGTTTTAAATGCGAACCAATAACTTCTCAACTGATAGACAGACAGACAGACAGATGCAACGTAGAACTTGGTACGTAAGTACGTCAGTTCATGTTGCCATACCACATCAACACAGAGAAGTAATTGTCAATTCAAATCCAATAGTAGTAGAGGTAGTAAGGGAATTAGAAGTAATCGGAGAGGTTAGGGTTAGAAGATACTATTCAAGAAGTATGAGTCAGTGAGAAAAGTTTAGAGAGTCGAAACTAGAGGTGTTGAAGAATCCAGAAAATTAAGATTTGAGAGAACACAAAGAATAAATGCACCGGTAGCATTGCGAACGATTTTGAGCCATGTCATTCAAGGTCTCTAACCATCGATTATTATCATCTCGCGGACCCCAACCAGGTAGTCGACAACTACCGACATGGCTCAGTCCACTAGTCAATGACTTCATAGATTTGTGCCATGTTTTGGTTTGGCCACCCCTAACTTTCTCCCAACCTACTCCTACACTACAAAACAAAGTTCGTCGAGGCAGTCGGTGGTTAGGCATACGCAAGACATGTCCCAACCACCTCAACTGATGAAGTTTCACCACTTCATCTATTGATCTGCCATCGTTACCTAGAACTCGTTTCCTAACGACAGCATTGCTTACTCGGTTGTCCCACGATATACGAGCAATGCTTCTTAAACATCTATGATCGAATACTAATAACCTACGAACATCTTCTACTCTTAACGGCCATGTTTCACAGCCATATAGAAGAACAGAGCGAACTGCTGCGCAGTACACCCGCCCTTTGGTTAGCGAACGGATATCACGCCTACGCCATAAATGACGCAGGTTGGCAAAAGTCAATCGAGCCTTCTGTATCCGAGCTGAGATTTCGTCAGTCACCAGGCCATCGGCACTGATGAGACTCCCAAGATAAGTGAAGCGGTCTACACGCAACTATTAACCCGTCAATAGAACTGTAATTCAATAATTTCAATGTACAATGTTCAACTACTGAATACTTAAGTTTTAAGGGCTACTACATAATATTTTCAACAGTTACAACCTGGATTTGGGTGGTTCATAACTGAACTCAATTTTTTTTTTGACGATTTCAGTAATAATTGTTGTGTATTTTGTTTATATCATAGGAGAAATTCCTGACACTATAAAATTGGAAGAGAATGATGACATTGAGTTCGATGCAAATGCTGCTATTTTTGATGAGGACGATGATGATAATGAAAAAGGATCCGACTCGGAAGATGAAGAAGGCTCAGATGATGATGATGATGATGAGAATAGTGATGATTCTGATGAAATAGCAGAAATTAATCAACGATATAGAGCAGATACTGGTATATCTAAAGATCAACGAAATAATCGTCGAAGATAGTTGATTGATTGATTGATTGATGTTTTGTATGTTTTTCTTGTAAAACTTTACGGTTGCATATTTATTGTCTGTAAGTTGAATGATTTTTTTTTAAAAATGTTTTGATAAAAATGTATATTTAAATAAAAATAGTTCTTTGAAATGTTTGAAAATAGAAATCTTGATTACGAATATCTTTATCCAGTTTTTAGGTGTCAGGTAGTGGTGAAGGTAGTCAACAAGAAGCCCCATCCTGCTTAACCTGGATTTCTTGCTAGTTAGCATTTATCAACAACATATACCTGCTTGGAATCTTCGAGGGACTGGTATTAAGTGTTGGATCCACTTCACGAGACTTTACCATCAAATTTTGATGGTTACAATATTGAATTACTTAAACTAGTAGCCATACTGCAGTTTGATCGATAGGTTTCGATCAGCTGCTGTCAATCAGTCAGTTACAAACGTCGAACTTCATACATACGCACGTACATCAGTTCAGGTTGCCATACCACATTAGCATAGAGACGCAATTGTCACTTTGATTAGTAGGAACAACTAGATAAATCCTACATTAGTTGTTGCTTAGTAATCAATCAACTATTATTCGACCGATCCCGATTCAAACGATCTAAATGTTGTCAATAATATTAATGGCACTCTTAATTTATCGTTGATTAAGATAGTATTTTAATTAACTTTTAACAATCAATTTGTCCTGATTATTATGTACTATTAATGTTATTACTTTCGTACATTTCAAGTCAGTTTATTAACTCATTAGTTATCTCAGTTGATTTATTTAGTCAGTCAATTATATGAAACTTAAAAACCTGGTACAAAATTTACATCGATTTAAATTACCATTACGCTTTATTAGCACATCAAGATATAATTGTCAAATCCATGAAGTCATTGACAAGTGGACTTAGCCATGTCGGTAGTTGTCGACTATCTGGTCGGGGTCCGCGAGATGATAATAATCGATGGTTAGAGACCTTGAATGACATGGCTCAAAATCGTTCGCAATGGCGCCGGTGCATTTATTCTTTGTGTTCTTTCAAATCTTAATCTTCTGGATTCTTCAACACCTCTAGTTTTGACTTTCTAAACTTTTCTCACTGAATCATACTTCTTGAATAATATCTTCTAATCCTAACCTCTCCGATTACTTCTAATACCTTAACTACCTCTACTACTATTGGATTTGAATTGACAATTACATCTCTGTGCTGATGTGGTATGGCAACATGAACTGATGTACTTACGTACGAAGTTCTACGTTGCATCTGACTGACTATAATTGTCAAAACTAATTCCAGTGTCGTACATGTATTAACCAGTATAAATGGTAATAGAGAATATAAATTAGGGAAGTCATTTTAAAAAACAAAACAATTTATGAAGAAATCTATAAGCCAATAAATGAGTGAATAAACCTGCAAATGATTTTGAGTTTATGTCACTTTACTTTTTAATCATTGACTAGAACAATCATTTATTGATTTATTAAATCGAATAGGAACTTTAAGTAGTTGTACAATAAAATTAATATAATTAACGCATTCACACAATGAAATGTTCAGTTTAAAAATAGCCTACCTATATATGTTAACATTAATATGATCAAATCATTTGTTCTTCGATAGGAAAAATATATATTCTGCAGTTAGTATTTTTCACTGTTAGTATTTCAGCCATAGTCTTTTTTATTGTTGATAATATAACTATTTATTGGTTCCATTCACTCTTGATATTAAGTGATATCATAAAAAGGATAGCTGATGAATAAGATTGAAATATAAGACAACTAGTTATCAGAAATTGATGTTAGTTGAGTTCTTATAAATAAACTGTTTTTCTCAATCATTTTCATTTTTTGATAAGTCAAGTAAACTCGCATCATTAGTTAACATTGAGGATATTTTTAATACATAATGAACACTGACGTTTTTTCGATGAGTATATTTCGAGGTTTTTAGTCACATTCATCTCTGTGAAAACTATTGTTTTGATTGTTTCATGTTTGCTTATATTGATTCAATTTTATAGCTGTTCATCTTATCCCATTGACCATGCACTTCGTCAATTTTAAAACCCTCTTGTTTAATTATGTATGGCAGCTTACGCCGATGTATATCTTTGCCGTGTCAGAGTCACATTGTGGGGCGAGCATCAGTTTCATAGCTCGAATGTTCTCAGGATCCGGTCTGCAGCCGTCGGCATCAAAGATTATCTCAAAATACTTTACCGACTGCAAGAAAAACTGGCATTTCTCTGGGCGTAACCGGAACCCGTTGTCACTGATGCGTTGCAGTACCAACGTCGTGCGTTCCTGTAGCTGTTCTGATGTCGTCGCAACAATTAAAATGTCATCGAGATAAGCCGCGACCCCGGAGATACCTGATGGGATGGTATCCATTAGTTGCTGGAAGATAGTTGGGGCAGTCTTGACTCCAAAAGGCAGACGATTGTACTGAAACAAACCACGATGAGTATTGATAGTAAGCAGCTCTCTTGATGCTTCAGCTATTTCCACTTGTAAATAAGCATCAGCTAGATCCAGTTTTGCGAAAAACTTTCTCCCGTTCAACATAGTAAACAGATCTGCGAGAACTGGCAGAGAACAGTGATACCGCTCTAAAGCTGCATTGAGACCTGTGGAAAAGTTAGCACATAAACGTATCGTGCCGTTGGCCTTCTTAATAACAACTATAGGTGCTGTCCAAGCAGAGTAAGAAGCGGGAGTACTAACTCCTTGTCGTTGAAGGCGATTCGATTCTTCATCTACTGTTGCTAATGTTGTATAAGGTACGGGTCTCTTTGGACGGAAAGTAGGCTTAGCCCCAGGTTTCAACCGAAGCGTTGCTTTCATGGCAGTGCACCGACCTAATCCAGGTTGAAAAATGGTTGAAAACTCCGTCATCAGCTTCTTCGTATATGCTTCGGGGTCATGTGGTTGTGATACCAGGTGGCATATGGTATTTAACGGGACATCAGCCAATTTTAGCTGGTCGAACCAATCTGGATCGGTTTGGTTTCCTCTTAAGATAAAAACCATCTTTATGACCGACGACTTTAAACTTCCTGCATCTATGTTGCCTAAATGGGCAGTTCCGCACATAGTGCCATGAGCCGCAGTGCCAGCAAGCAGCAGGGGGATTCATTTTGGATTTTTGGGCAGAGTTGGAGCGGGATGAACTGGGTGTAGCATGGGCAGACTTATTCTGATTAGGTGGCTGCTGTACCAAATGAACTTCAGATCGGCTTGAATTACCACTCTGCACTATAGTTGTGTGTCGTTGTAGGTTAGTGAGACGTTGGTACTCATGAGCCATTTCATTAAGCGTAAGCTTCGGATCTTGCTCCAAACGACTTAGTAGCCTTGTTCTAATATCACTGAACTTACTCGACTGGAGGCTGTAGATGAGTATAAGGGCTTTGAACTGGTCTTCCGACAAAGACTTCAACCGAAAGCGTTCGCATTCACGGTTGACGATGTCCACGAGCGTAAGAAAGTCATCATCTTCGTTCATAATTAGCTTCAAACATCGATATCGAGTATTAAACAGTGACGAGTTATCGCCAAAGTGTTGGCCTAAAGTCTGAACAGTCTCAGAAAAAGAACAATCTCGTGGGTTCAAAGGCAGGATCAAATCGCAGTACTTATCCAGATAACTTGCGATTTGATCCTGCCTTTGAACCCACGAGATTGTTCATTTTCTGAGACTGTTCAGACTTTAGGCCAACACTTTGGCGATAACTCGTCACTGTTTAATACTCGTTATCGATGTTTGAAGCTAATTATGAACGAAGATGATGACTTTCTTACGCTCGTGGGCATCGTCAACCGTGAATGCGAACGCTTTCGGTTGAAGTCTTTGTCGGAAGATCAGTTCAAAGCCCTTATACTCATCTGCAGCCTCCAGTCGAGTAAGTTCAGTGATATTAGAACAAGGCTACTAAGTCGTTTGGAGCAAGATCCGAAGCTTACGCTTAATGACATGGCTCATGAGTACCAACGTCTCACTAACCTACAACGACACTCAACTATAGTGCAGAGTGGTAGTTCAAGCCGATCTGAAGTTCATTTGGTACAGCAGCCACCTGATCAGAATAAGTCTGTCCATGCTACACCCAGTTCATCCCGCTCCAACTCTGCCCAAAAATCCAAAATGAATCCCCCTGCTGCTTGCTGGCACTGCGGCTCATGGCACTATGTGCGGAACTGCCCATTTAGGCAACATAGATGCAGGAAGTGTAAGGTCGTCGGTCATAAAGATGGTTTTTATCTTAAGAGGAAACCAAACCGATCCAGATTGGTTCGACCAGCTAAAATTGGCTGATGTCCCGTTAAATACCATATGCCACCTGGTATCACAACCACATGACCCCGAAGCATATACGAAGAAGCTGATGACGGAGTTTTCAACCATTTTTCAACCTGGATTAGGTCGGTGCACTGCCATGAAAGCAACGCTTCGGTTGAAACCTGGGGCTAAGCCTACTTTCCGTCCAAAGAGACCCGTACCTTATACAACATTAGCAACAGTAGATGAAGAATCGAATCGCCTTCAACGACAAGGAGTTAGTACTCCCGCTTCTTACTCTGCTTGGACAGCACCTATAGTTGTTATTAAGAAGGCCAACGGCACGATACGTTTATGTGCTAACTTTTCCACAGGTTTCAATGCAGCTTTGGAACGGTATCACTGTTCTCTGCCAGTTCCCGCAGATCTGTTTACTATGCTGAACGGGAGAAAGTTTTTCGCAAAACTGGATGTAGCTGATGCTTATTTGCAAGTGGAAATAGCTGAAGCATCAAGAGAGCTGCTTACTATCAATACTCATCGTGGTTTGTTTCAGTACAATCGTCTGCCTTTTGGAGTCAAGACTGCCCCAACTATCTTCCAGCAACTAATGGATACCATCCCATCAGGTATCTCCGGGGTCGCGGCTTATCTCGATGACATTTTAATTGTTGCGACGACATCAGAACAGCTACAGGAACGCACGACATTGGTACTGCAACGCATCAGTGACAACGGGTTCCGGTTACGCCCAAGAAATGCCAGTTTTTCTTGCAGTCGGTAAAGTATTTGGAGTTCATCTTTGATGCCGACGGCTGCAGATCGGATCCTGAGAACATTCGAGCTATCAAACGGATGCACACTCTCACGTATGTCTCGGAATTACGATCGTTCCTTAGAATAATGAGCGTGTTTTCAACGTTCCTTTCTACAACGCATTATAATCGCGCTTCACTTAATGATCTGCTGTAGAAGGACTGCACTTGGAGCTGGACTAAAGAATGTGACGTGGCGTCTTGTAACATCAGGTCTATATTTTCTTCGGAATGGTTATTAACTGTCTATGATCCATCCATAACGATCATCGTAGTTGCAGACGCTTAAGCATATGGCCTAGGTGCTGTTATTTCAAATCATTTTCCAGACATGACAGAAAAAGTCGTTATGCATGCATCCCAGACACCAACCCACGGCTGAAAAGAAATATAGTCAGGCACAGGAAGAGGCTTTTGACTTTGTGTTTGCTGTCTGACGTTGAATTACGTTTCTGTACGGTAGAAAATTTACGCTTCTAACTAATCACAAGTCTCTATTTGCAATAATTGGCATTCTAGCCCATTCTGCAAATCGTCTTTAGCGATGGGCCTTAGTACTTTTGGTGCATGATTTCGAGATGCATTGTCGACGCACTCAACAACTCGGTCAGGCAGATAAGCTTTATCACGACTCATTAATGATTAATTCTAGGCTGTGAAAGACATGGTTACCGCATCTCTGTCAGCGGAAGACTACACGAAATGTTATCTTCAGACCGTAATATGGGCATTGCCGTTGTCTGCAACAGACATACAAACGGCTTTTAAGAACGACTCCATCATCAAGATGACGATGAGCTATGTCACCAACGGTTGGTCGTCTAAGGGGTTTTATGGTGACATGAAACAGTCGCATCAGCGGCGGGATTAACTATGCATTGTAAACGACTTTTTGATGTTTATAGACAGATTTGTGGTGCCAGAATCCCTACGAGCAAAAGTGCTGAAACAGTTATACCTTGGTCATCCAGAGGTTAAACGAATCAAATCCATTTCCAGGAGTTATGCAACTGGTTTCTACTGGATCAACATATCACAGAGTTGGTCGCAAAATGCATGAGGTGTCAGCCAGCGTCAAAGGTGAACGCTAAAGTTCCTCCAGCTTCATGGCCACAATCTGATTATTCGTGGTTTAGAATACACGTCAGCTTCGCGAGCCTGGTTAATGGAACTTAGAATCTAATCATAGTCGACGCATTTTCAAACTGGCCAGAAATCAGCCCTTTAATGCCGCCAACGACAACTAAAACGATACAACTCTGAAATTTTCTCTCGAAACGGCATACCGTATATAATTGTATCTGACAACGGTTCGTAATTCACCTCTAGCCAATTCCAAGCTTTCAGTCAAACGGCTAGCTATGTCGCCTACACCACAAGTTACTCAAGAGTCACAATACACCCAACTTGGTTGCCATTGATCAACAATTCGTTTTCCAACATTATTTTATTGGTTAGAAATAGTTACACACACAGTTTATTGTCTGTAGTTGAAAAGAAATCCTCAAAATACTGTAAATTCATTGTATATTCTGCAAATATTGTCATTCTTGCTTTATTGAAATTTATAAAAAGAATCATTCTATGCTGATTATAATTAGATAACTGTCTCATTTCTTTTTTTTTTGATGATGTAACATTCTCTGATCAAATTATCTGGTCTTATGTTTTAAATAACAGTATTTTTATTGATTTGTCTATCATATTTTGATAAAGAATCCCTGAAACTTATTCTCATAAAATGTTCCGCATCCACATGACTCGTTTTTCTATTGCGGGGTTGTTGTGAAGATTGTTAAGTTTTATTTGTAACCATGAATCGATCAATGTTAGACCACCATTAGAAACCTGGAAGCACTGGACGGCCGTTTCGTCCTGGTATGGGGCTCATCAGCAGTGCGCATCCGCGACTCCTGCTCCTCGCAGGATTCGAACCCAGGACCTTCGGTATTGTGCGTGAACGCCCTATATTTTGTCATAAACGTACCATTTACTACAATGAATAAATATCATATCTTAATTTGCTAAAGATGTTTTTTTTTCAACTTTCTTTTTTGCAGATCTCTTTCATGTTTCGATAGTCTGGGTTGTTCCAATCCCTGCTGCCCCTTATGCAGATACTGTAAATCATCTTTTATTGTGTGACATTATTATTATGTAATAAAAAAGAAGCAAATCTTAATCACCAAAAATGACGACTAATTTACACTTAATACAATACAACAAAAAAAAGGCATTGTTCTGGTTTTGTTTTTTTCCACACAATTTCTTTTTGTGTAATTTAAATTTTCGAAACTATAAAGTTACATTTAATGATAAGGTCCTGTTTTTTTTTCATGCTGAACTTACTAGTAGACACCAAAATGTACGATTGCTTGTAATGTTTTCTCATTCTGCACATTTTTCTTGATGTCTCCACTTTGTTTAGCTTTCTTTCAGAGTGATAAATTTGTCGGTCAATTGAAGTTTTGCCTTTTTTTTACTATTTAAAGTTGGAATCTAATGGAAACATACGCGCATACGGTTACTATATGTTGGTGCATATTGTTTCAGAAAGTGCACAAATTTTATTGTTCAGAATCGAAACAGTTTTTGTTTTCCTTAAGACTTAATATGTTATTATACTCCTGAAATATATGTTCCCAGTACCTATGGCAAGCGGCTGTACTGTTGTTTAGGTGAATTCATAAGGGTGGGTGCTACCGGGCAGAAATACATGCAGGTTGGTTGTTAAAGACCGCTTGGGAAAATAGATGGTCGACCTCATTACCTAGTCGAAATATCTTTCGAAAGTGTTCGGAACTCTTGATCAATGTATTTGTCGATATCTAATATATGTTATTTCGTCGCTATAACTCTTAACCAGTTGCTTTCCATCACAATTATACGTTGCAAATAACAAATTAAAACTACGTGTAGTGCTTAAAGCCATTGAGGTTTTGCAGCTTTATTTAGATTAAAGTCGAGAGATACTTGGGAGGAGAAAAGTTTCGATTAGCACATGTAACCAAATGATCCCCAGTCATTAATAGACTTTCGAAAATCAAGTTATTTTCAGTTCTATCAGTGTTTGTGTATGACGTCTCCTAGTCTCGTAAATGATGTATAAGTCGACGCACAGTCAGTATTAATTGATTCTCGTTTCTTCATAGTACCAATACGGCACCCTCCCATGTCACAGTTAGCTTTGTCTCCTAATCACCGCTAATGCTGCGGTACGATGAGAGTTAACGAAGCGTTATTTCTGGTCTCCTGAAACCTCGTTTTAGACTACAAGTTGGAGCTCTTAATGTACGGACATTGTGTCAAATAGGGCAACAGGAGTGTAGAATCTATTTTGAAGGTTTTGTTTTTTGGAAAATCCCTACATGTGTGTTATGATATGACTAACTCATTCTGTTGACATTTTGGTATTTTATTTGATTCCATTTTGAGATTTTATCATTGTATATTGTTATTATTTCTATATCTTGAACTGATATTGAAGTTTTTATGTTTGCTTCTGAACTGTACATATGTTGTTTAAATTTGATATTTAATATGGCTACAGCCATATTTGGATTTGATACTCTAGTAGTAACGGACTGGAATCACTTATTCTTCCAGAAACTGAACCCATTGTGGTAATTAGAAGCTCGAAGGTGTAATATCGTTTTGAACCGTTTTCTACCAGAATTATTGTTTTTGGTCCCGGACTGAGTGTAACGCGTCTGAACCTGCACCTGCCGAGTTAAAAGTGAACTGCAAGAGTAGAAAATCCGTCACAGTTCAAAACGATATTACACCTTCGAGCTTCTAATTGCCACAATGGGTTCAATTTCTGGAAGAATAAGTGATTCCAGTCCGTTACTACTAGAGTATCAAATCCAAATATGGCTGTAGCCATAATAAATATCAAATTTAAACAACATATGTACAGTTCAGAAGGAAACATAAAAACTTCAATATCAGCACAAGATATAGAAATAATAACAATATACAATGATAAAATCTCAAAATGGAATCAAATAGAGTACCAAAATGTCAGCAGAAAGAGTCAGTCATATCATAACACAAATATATATACATGGAGGGATTTTCCAAAAAACAAAACCTTCAAAATAGATTCTACACCGGCCCGCAAAATCCCTCCATGCAAAACAAGCCCTTTCTGACACTTCAATTTAGGGTTCACTCTCATCCCCTAATCCACACCGGAAGAACGAGTAGGACTTACAGCAGTACGCCTACCCGCCCTCCAACATGGATATGACCTATCTAGTTCGACCCTTCTAGGAGACACCTTTCGTATGTCTCTCCTCACTGCCCCGCTATTAGTACGGACGACTACCGTTCTGACCTTTCCGTCCTTATCCGTCTCACAATGCTCTACTATTCCTAAGGGTCATTTTCCACGAGTAGTAATATCCGAGGCGACAATTACTACGTCTCCTTTCTGGAAATCGCTATGCTCTTTTAGCCATTTTTGACGAATTTGTAAGGACGGCAAATATTCTTTTAGCCACCTTTTCCAAAATACATTAGCTAAATAATTTACCTGCTTCCAACGTTCGTGGAACTTGTCACTAATGCTTCCTTCCTCAGTTATTCCATCACATTCCCTCAATAACAATAGGCTATTTGGTGATAGAGCTAGTCGGTCGTTAGCATCCTGGACTACCGGGGTTAGGGGTCGGTCGTTTAGAAGTCTCTCAATTTCAACCAGATAGGTGCCCAAGGTTTCGTCCGTTAACACCTGTTCTCTGGTGATCAATAATAGCAGCCTCCGTATAGATCTAATCATCCGTTCCAAAACTCCACCTCTATGGCTGGCTAGCGGAGGGTTGAAATGCCATTGAACTTGTCTTGATGATAATTCCTTACTTATTTTCTGCTGATTCCACTGTTGCACGAAGCTCTTTAGTTCAGTGACTGCCCCCACGAAGTTTGATCCATTGTCACTATACACGTTGGCCTCCCTCTTCTTCCGATAAAACGTATCAAAGCCATTATAAATGAATCGGTATTCAGGCTGTATGTCATCTCAATATGTACTGCTCGTGTCTGTAGGCAGGTAAACACACATCCATATCTTTTTTCTAGTGACCTACCCCTCTTGACCATAAGGGGTCCAAAGTAGTCTACTCCTGTCGTCGAGAAACTATACCAACCTCCTTGCACTCTGTAAACTGGAAGTGGCGCCATCTGCTGATTCCCTGGACTTAGAGTAAACCTTCGGCAAGTTTCACACCTTATTACTCTCTTAACCGTGCTGGTGCCTTTAACTATCCAATGGTACTTGCGAACCGTAGCTAGCACATGCGAAGTTCCCATATGTCCTTCTTCTTTGTGATAGTGTCTGATTATCAATTCGGTTACCAAATGTCGACTAGGCAAAATTACGGGATGTTTTGATGCACTCGGGAGTTCGGCGTACGTTGGGCGGCCTCCGACGCAGAGTAATCCATCAATCATTACCGGTGATAAACCTCTCAGACGTTTACTACTCGCTACTTTACGACTAACGTTGGATTCGTTAAGTAGTTCTCCGTATACCTCCTTTTGAACCATCATTAGAACTTTCCGTTTGGCTGTCTCAAGCTCCTTGACCTTTAGGTAACCTGTCGTAACAGAGCCTTCAGTTCTCAGCGAGCGAAGTACTATCCAGAGGTCTATGAACCCTCTGAGCCACGCTACAGCCCTAACCAATTTCATCCATTCCGAGTAGTAAGACAAGATAGGTGACGGGGTATTTATTGTACTACTCAAGTTGACCGCAGCTTTTCTGAACTCGACTTGGTCAATAGTAGGTTCTGGGTGGTTAATGGTAGTACCTGAATTGCTATACAGCAGTGTAGGACATTTAAACCAGGTCTCTGGATCATTCATCTTTTGTATGCCTCTCGAAGTCCAATCGGCCGGATTCTGCGACGAGCTTACATAACTCCATTGCTCAACACTGGTATACTGGTGGACGACAGCAAGACGGTTAGCTATATGGCTGGTGTACCGCTTTTCAGTATTCTTAATGTAGTATAATACTATCATGGAATCCGTATTAAATTTCACTTCACAGAAGAAGTTGGGTAGACTTTTCCGTATAACCTCACTCAACCTTACACTTAAAACCGCTGCCGCCATTTCTAATCTCGGTATCGTAACTTGTTTGATAGGTGATACCGTAGACTTGCTGTATAACAGGATACAGTAGGGTTGTGTCTTCGTATAATTTACTCGAGCATAAGCAACCGCTCCGTAGCCAATCTCTGAGGCGTCGCTGAATAAGTGCAACTCCACCCTCGCGTCAGGTTCGTCGACTCTGTTCTTGATACCTCGAGCAACCGTGACATGACCCATCTGACGCATGAAACTTAACCAATCCAGCCACGTGGACACGTATGGTTCGTCGAGAGGTTGATCCCATCTTATTTGAGACTTACATTAACCTTGCAAAAGTAGCTTAGCCGTTAGGCACACCGGAGCGATCAGACCCAAAGGATCGAACAGGGACGAAACAACAGATAAGATTCCTCTCCTTGTCACTGGTTTATCTGGTGCATCAAAGTGGAACTTGAATACGTCTTGTTCGACATCCCATTCTATACCAAGCGTTCGATGAGTAACAGTACAATCCGCCGATATTCCTAACAATGACTCCTTGTTACCTATATCCGGTAATATAGACCTCACTTCCTCTGAATTAGTAACCCACTTTTTTAAGTTAAATCCTCCTCTTCGTAACAACTCACTTATCTGCCTGACAAACTTTTTGGCTTGGTCACAACTTGAAAAGGATATCAGACAGTCATCGACGTAAAAGTTGTTCTTGACCGCATCCACAACATAACGCTCATAATCACTCGAGAAGCTTTGGGCTGTTTTATTCATAGCAAAGTTCGCACAAAACGGGGATGAAGTGGCTCCAAATGGATGAGAGGTCATCCGAAATTCAGAAGGTTCTTTGGATGTGTTCCCACTTTCCCACCACAGAAACCTTCACTTGCATAAACATTTCCTCAACATCTGCCGATACTGCTACTGCTTCCCTGCGAAAACGCGATAGTATGCTTACCAGGTCAGCGGTGCTGTCCGGCCCTTGATAGATCATATCGTTTAAGGAGATCCCAGCAAACTTAGCAGCACAGTCCAGGACCACTCTCAACTTATCTGGTTTTTTGGGGTTCAACACGGGATGGTGAGGTAAATACCACCGGGGACGATAGTCCAACTCCAAATGCAACTCAGGTACCCTTTGCGCATAGCCCTTAGAGACGTTATCCTCCATACATTTAGCGTACCTGACACGCAACCTATCGTCTCTCATCAATCTTCGCTTCAAACTCTGTAGCCTATTACTAGCTACCTCATAATTAGTCCCTTTCGTAGAGGGGTCCTGTTTCTATGGTATCGGAACTACAAAATGGCCGTCGACGAAGTGTGGACCTCTCTCCACGATTCAAGAGCTACCTGGTCCTCTACAGACACTGACTTGTCACTAGAATAGACATCAGCAAACTCCACATCATACAGTTTACGTATCTGGTCCTCCAAAACTTGCACGCCACTAATATGATTAACAACTCTTTTTCTATAATCCGTGTATGATGTAGGTCCAAATACAGTCCATCCGAGTAGTGTTTTTACCTCATACGGAGCCTTCCTTCCGCCTAGCCGC